TAGAAAGTCGTTGATACCTCAAGGAATTATTTAAGAACTTAGATTTTTTTAAGAATTTTTAAATTATCCTTCATTTAAAAAAATAAAAATTTTTTAAGCCTTTTTAGAAACATGGAAATTTTTAATCGTTTTTCGAGGTCTGTGTTTTTTTTTAGAAAGTATTTTTCAAAGGACTATAAAGTCATTGATGCTTCAAAGAATTATTTGAGGACTATTAAGTCCTTGATAGATAACAATTTCAGAGATCGTAGTTTTTTTTAAGAATTTTTAAATTATCCTGGATTTAAAAAAAAAATATTTTTAAATCTTTTTAGGAACAGGAAAATTTTTTAATCGTTTTTCGAGGTCTGTGTTTTTTTTAGAAAGTATTTTTCAAAGGACTATAAAGTCATTGATGCTTCAAAGAATTATTTGAGGACTATTAAGTCCTTGATAGATAACAATTTCAGAGATCGTAGTTTTTTTTAAGAATTTTTAAATTATCCTGGATTTAAAAAAAAATATATATTTTTAAATCTTTTTAGGAACAGGAAAATTTTTTAATCGTTTTTCGAGGTCTGTGTTTTTTTAGAAAGTATTTTTCAAAGGACTATAAAGTCATTGATGCTTCTAAGAATTATTTAAGGACTATTAGGTTCTTGATTGATAGAAATTTCAAAGGTATTCGATTTTTTAAACACTTTTCAAGTATCCTTGATTTTTTTATATAAAACATTTTTAAAGAGTTTTTTCAGGACATTGAATTTTTTAAATTGTTTTTCGAGATCTGTGTTTTTTAGAAAATATTTTTAAAAGCACTTTTAAGTCCTTGATTGATAACAATTTTAAAAATCTTAAATTTTTTATAAAATATTTTTCAAAGTATCATGGATTTTTAAAAAAAATATTTTTAGAGAATTTTTTAAGGATATTCAATTTTTTTTTAAAAATTTTCGAGGGTTCTTGATTTTTTAATTGAATTTTTTTTTTTTTGAGAAAATATTTGCTCAAGGAAAATTAAATTAATTATTATTAATTATAAAAATTATTAATTATTTAAGGACTATAATGTCCTTGATTTTTCAATGACTTTATTTTCAGAGACTATAAATAACATCCTGCAATAAATATTATTGCAACACTTCCTGCAAACTAATATTAATTGTTGACATCCTGACATTTGTTTCCCCCCTTCCTGCCAACATGTATCCATCCATCCATCCATCCACCTCATGAACTCATTTTAATTACACATTTCCCACTCATCGCTGTAGACAAAATGATGTCAATTAATTAATTGACTGGCTGGGATATGTAAATTTTGCCCAATTATGGTAGTAACTTTTACTGCTTTCACTTCTCAAGGTGCAGGTGCTTCTGCTGCTACTAGAGACTTAAGCTGCTACAACAAAGCGGTAGCAGCAGTAGCATCAACATCATCGGCAAGAAATCCATCATTATGTCGACCCAAATGGCAAGGCATGGATTCATTATGACATTTATAAATCAGATGTGTACCTGGGCCATACCCCTTGACAACCATGGTTGCCAGCCTTGGAGAGGGGGGAATGGGTAGTCATGCAAAGCCTGACTGCATGCCTGCCAGCTCGCTTCTTTTGGTCGTTCTGCCAAGTTAATGGGCAGGGAATCCTTTAATCCCTTTGAATGTGAATCGTGACTGGAATTTGTGTCATTCGTTGAAGTAGCAAAGGATCTTCTGAAGATGCAGCCAGCGAAAGGCGTAATGTCGCTCTCAGGTATGGAGTTTGTTACTTTTTGACTGCAGTGCAAGGCATCGAGCGAGTGACTAACTGACTGACTGGCTGGGTGAGTGAATGATTGAGTTTCGTTCTACAACTCTCTTAAGGCCTTAGTTTGTGCTGTTCGTCTGTATGTTTGTCGCTAACTTCCATCCATTTGTTTGTTCCGCCTGTCTTCCATTGCCATTACTTCTGCCTCCAGCATCGTTGGAACAATTGTGGCCGAGCTGCAAAGTGTGTCATCATTTTCAATATCGTCGTGACAAGACACGACACGATAACATTCAAAAGCACTGCCGGATAAACTTGAATGACAAGCCAAGAGATTTGTTTAAGGCCGAAGGACGATGGGGAATCAGGCTGCTCTCTCAGTGGTGTCATATGCTTATTTTTTATAGATGGATTCCAGAATTCGGTCTTCCTAATGGGGCATAATTTGAGTGAGGAGATTTTGTCAGGTGATATTTGAAATATTGATAGATGGGAGTAATGGTAGTTGAGACCTCTACTTCGTCCGCGAAAAGTCCACTTTAAAATGGACCTACATCCAATTTTTCTGTCCCAAATTATTTCGACGTCTCCATGTGTAAACCGTGACTCAATATCAAATTTCTACATTATCCCTTCACACAAAACCAAATTTAATACCATTTAATACAATTATTGTTCGCATATCCAAAACCACCTCCATAACTTATTCCCAAATACCAATAGACACCTCAATATCAAATTTCAGAATTTCAGCTCTATTCCTTAACCCAATACCCATTTTAGTAACACTTAGTACTTTTAGAACAATTGTAGTACACATTTCCAAAACAACTCTCAATGTCAGATACCCACAGAGACTTCAATATCAAATTTCAGGATTTCAACTCTATTCCTTCATCCAATACCGAATGTAGTACAATTTGGTAGTTTTCGTACAATTATAGTACGCATTTCCCCAACCACCTCCATAACTCAATCCCAGATACCAACAGAGACCTTAACACCAAATTTGGGGATTCCAGCCCTATCCCTTCACCCGTTATCAAATTTAGTACCACTTAGTACAGTTCGTACAACTATAGTACACATTCCCAAAACCACCTCCATATCTCAATATTAGACACCAACAAAGGCTCCAATATCAAAATTGAGGATTCCAGCTCTATCTCTTCACCCAATATCCAATTTGGTATCACGTAGTACTTTTCGAACACTTATAGTACACATTTCTAAACCACTTCCATATCTTAACCGCAGACACCAGCAATGACATCCATACGAAAATTCCGGATGTTAGCTCATACCTTCACCCAATGAAAAATTTAGTACTATTTAGTACTTTTAGAACAATTATAGTACACAATTCCTAAACCACCTCCATAACTTAATTCCAGATACCAACAGAGATCTTAACATCAAATTTGAGGATTCCAGACCTATCTCTTGACCCAATATCAAATTTAGTACAATTTAGTACTTTTCGTATAAATATAGAACTTATTTCCAAAATCACCTTCATATCTCAATATTAGACACAACAGAGGCCTCAATATCAAATTTGAGGATACCAGCCCTATGTCTTTACCCAATACCAAATTTAGTACCATTTAGCACTTTTCGTACAATGATAGTACACATTTCCAAACCCATCTCCATATCTCAATTACAAATACCAACAGAGACCTTGACATCAAACTTCGGGATTCCTGCTCTATCCTTTCACCCCATACTAAGTTTAGTACCATTTAGTACTTTTCATACAATTATAAAATACTTTTCTGAAACCACCTCCATATGTCCAGGCTATACATGAAAAGCGACCCCAACACCCAAATGTCGGATTTCAAGCACTATCTGTTCACCCAATACAAAATTGTACTAATTATAGTACTATTTAGTACTTTCGTGCACTTGCAGTACACCTTTGCAAAACCCCCTATTTTTCATAAACCTAGCCGGAACCCCAATACAAAATTTCAAAATTCTAGCTTCATCCGTTTAACCTAAACCAAACTGTACTATATTTAGTACCATTTAGTACATTTCACACACTTAGTACACATTTCTAAAGCCATCTTCATATATAAAACTTACTTTCCAAACTTGATTCTCATATCAAATTTAAACATTATTAGCTCTATCCGTTCACATAATACCAAATGGTACCATTTAGGAAGTTTAGTACCATTTTAGAACTTTTCGTAACCATAAAGTTATAATTTCCAAAATCCTTTTTTTACATCTATCCTGCACTCCATCAGTGATTCTCATTCCGAGTTTCAGAATTCCAACTCATTTCATTTGTTCAATACAAAGTATAACATTATTTAGTACATTTTAGTACTTTACGTAACCTTTTATTACGTTATTACACAATACAATGTTACAGCTCTGATATTCCTTGGAAATATATTTCTTAAAAGTCCACTATAAAATTTCCTTAAAAAATCCGCAACAACGATAAATGATCTTTGAAAACTTCAAAGTCATGAATAATTAAAAACTTAAAAAAAATCTCCAAAAAACTTTGATGGTCCTCAGTATTTCGTGTTTATCTTCTCCGTTGATATTCATTACAAATTCAACAATAATATTTTTAAATTAATCAACATTGAAATTATTTAAACCAATCATGTTATCTCCTTCTTTACGTGCAACTTTTTACTCGAAACGTGTTCGCTTAAGGGGAGTCGTGTTTACACTCTGCTATTTTTGCAACTTTTATTATTTTGAGAAGTAAGGAAACAAAGCTATTGATTGATTGATAATTGTTTAAATAATTAATGTTGATATTCTCAAAATAATACACATTTTTATTCTTTAAAAAGTACACTTTGATATACTTTCAAAATCCTTTTCCAATTTTTTACTTGAAACTTGTTTCCTTACAAATAATGGCAACTCAAAGACAACAACGACTCAAGGGGTCGTGTTTACATCTTTCTATTTTTGCAACTTTTATCATTTACCAATCATGAAAATAAAATTCGTTTAAAAATCCAATTTGATATTCTCCAAATATTCCTTAGAAAATTTTCTTTTATATTCTTTAAAAAAATCCACTCTTATAACTCAAAAAATTATATAAATTTAAATTACCACTTCAATGTGCCTTTCATCTTGTGTAAATACGCCTCTTCTGCCGTTTAATTCGTTACACGTCATTACCGACATGGTCTCTGCTACTCACCGCTAAATGATAACACTGTTCCATTGTCAATTCGATGACAAAAGAAAAACAAATCGACTATTATTGCTATTGGAGTTTTTTTGTGCTATCGGATTCGTACTAGTGACGACTACAAAAATAAGTTTAATCATTTTCAATTTTCTGATGGAAAACAAAAACAATTGTGTAAATATTTATTTTAAATCGTTTGCCGACAATTGATAAGGAAATAAATCTACACGTTTGAGGCGAGAGAGTTCGTCTATATTGACAGTTTCTTGGTATCCCAGATCTGCTAACTGGTAAAGAGAAGGAGAAAAGAGCGATAACGGGGGTATGTAAAATTGTGATAAATTAGTTTCAGGGAATCGTATAAATTTTCCTAAAGATAAAATGGAAAAATTGCACACTAGTACATATCTAAATAATGTATATTTTTTTTAACAGGCAATGTCCGGCGAAAATAATGAATATACAAAAGAAATTGCAGCCTCCAGCGTAAGTACTTTGGCATAATGAAATCTCAACCCCGGCATATATTATAAAAAAGAACACATCATTGTTTTTGTAGATACGTTCTGGTTTGGCTGAACTAGAATTGAAAACGTCACAGGTATTGCAACGTTTGGAGAATGTTAAGGCCGTACCCGTTGAAACCCCACCCGATGGGGCACCGTCAGAGGCATTGGAGAATCTAACGTTGGAAGAACGTACTGCCGCCCAACAACAACAGCAACAAAACTCTGCCAATAGCACCACTACACCCACTCGTGTTGCCCAGCAGTTACATGGCATACGCAAGCCTCCCTCAGAAATTCTCAAATCATTGGAACTTCTTATCTCGTATTCTGATTCCGATGAAGATCCTGAATTCCCCCTACCCGCTTTAGATGATGTCTCACACCTGGCATTGATTTCTCACAGCATTGTGGCCTACTTGTCACATTTGGATGCCAAACAGTTGGTACGTGTTACCCGAAGTATTGCTGGCGATACAACCCATTGGCTGGGAACGTTGTTTCGTTTTATGGATCCATCTAGCAGCTTTCATAATGACAATGCCGATGCTATATTACGTGTGGTACGTTTAGCCATTGTGGCCCGATGTCCAGGCTATTTGGAGGGTGGTATACCGGCATTGGCCCATCCCTGCTTGTATATATCGGAAAATACAACACCAATGCGTTTGCAATATGCGTGTCGTCAATTGGGTATACCCTTGGATGCAATCCGCCTAATACCCGGCAATACAACATTTGGTACAATGGATTTATCCGTACTCCAGAGACAAATACAAATTGATCTACAATCAAATCGTACCCCCTTGTTGGTCATTGCCGATGTGGGCGCCTCCTTGTGTGGTTATGTGGATAATATTATGCGCATGCATGAGATTTGTAAGGCAAACAATCTTTGGCTACATGCCACAGGTCATGGCCTGGCGGCATTGGTTTGTTCTCAAGGTCCGGGGGTGGTGAGTATGGAGAGTAACTTGAAAATCGATTTGAATTATTATTATCCTACCTCTTTTTAGATAAGTTCATTGGTTGATTCAATAACTTTGTCCCTGGGCAGTTGGTTGGGTATACCCAGTTTACCCATTGTGGTATGTCGGATATTGTTTAATTCATTCTTATAAGTTTTATTAATTTTAATCATATTTCCAGCTATTGCATCGCCAGCTTAATAACTCAGCTCTGAATGCCTTTGATCAGGATCCCATATTGTCAAGGCGCCTCAACTCTTTGGCCTTGTGGACAAGTTTACAGGCCTTGGGTCGTGATGCCATTGCTGAACGTATACATGTAGCCTTTCAAACTTGTAGTATTCTCTTCGAAATGGTATCCGAATGTGAGGGCATTAAAGTTGTGGTGAGTAATACTCTGATAGAATACCAATACGAGAAATAAAGGGAAAAGGTGATATATTTATTCAGCTTACATAAAAGATAGAGACACGTCATATACTATTAGATAACACCAAACAAAGAATTTAACAAGAATATGGACTCCAATTGCAACTGAGAAAATATGTACCTCAAACATGTCCTATTCTGACAACCCAGAAGTTCGTTATGACGTTATTTGTATTGTGTATGTTAAGTAGTCGCAATATCGTATCTCTGTTGACACAAAGATAACATTGACATACCTAAAAGGTGTTCCGTTTTTAACATGAACTACTTTCAATTATTAGAAGAACATCACTTTGATTTTTGTGTAAATGGGGTTGCTTTAATGATAAGCTAAATGTAGGGTAATTAATTCGCCACGCGTTATAGAAGCATTCCTTAATACTTTTCAGTCGTTATTTTCAAAAAAGAGCAGAATATCATGTCTAATTCATTTTTTTTTACAGAGCCGTCCACCAGGAGCTCAATCTGGAAAAACATTATCCGATGTAATAAACAAACCTTTAGATGTGAATGTAAGTATTTGAATATCAAAAAATGTAAACGTTTTTTAACTTTGCCCCTTCATAGTTGCTCTTCGAAACAGCAGCTCCTGTTGTGGTGTTTCAATTCGATGGAAGTGTTACGGTGACAGCTAGCTCTCCTTCTGACAACAATACAAGTCATGGTTCGGATGAGATCAAACCCTTAGAGAAAGTCAGTAATCCCTCATATTTTGACCGTTTAAATTCCTGGCTGGGTCAAATTCTGCAAAGGGATTGTCCAAACGTAAGTAATTTTAAAATTTCCAAATACATATTCTTTACCTCTACCTCTTTTTCAGTTCGATTTTGAAATAATTGAGCATGCCACACATGGTACATGCATACGTTATTGTCCACTTGAGCTGAGCCTAGGGGAACAACCGCCTACAGCGAAAAATCTCGAGAGTTTAGCCCAAAGTTTGGAGACACATGTGGATATCTTGAGGGCCACCATAAAGCACAAAGCCACATTTATGTATTTGGTTGAGAAAAGTGATGTTTTACGTTTTGTCAATCTACCCGATTGGGCTGGTATGGGTGGTGTGCGATTTGTTCCCGATGGCTGGGAGTCACTGTTAACGGATCAAGCCAAAACTGAGCTAAACAAATTAAATGCTGATTTGGTGGAATCTTTGAAGGCAACTGATAATGCATTCTCTTTGGGTGAAGGTCCAGATGGTCTCATATGTGTACGTTTTGGTATGGTGACCCATGAAACCGATGTTGATGAATTACTCGATTTGGTGGTATCGGTGGGCAGAAATGTCCAGGAAAATTCAAGGGTATTGGATACGATGTCGGAAATTGTTAAGAGGGTAAGAAAGAAGTCTAGCAACATAAAATGAACAATTTCTAATGTGTTTTGGTTTTTCAGGGCATTGAGGCAGCCACTGCTGATTTGCAAAGAGAAAGTGAAGAAAAGCTATGGCAGGAGGGTATATTGCGTCATGTTCCCGTTGTGGGCAGGGTATTTAACTGGTGGTCCCCTCCACCCAAGGAAACGGGCATTAAGGGACGTAGCCTGAATTTGACCCAGGGTGTGGTCGAATCAACGGAGAACATTTACAAGTATGTTAAAGATTTGCAACTCCTTTTTTGTCTGTGAAGATAGTTAATAAAATTTCCTTTTTATTTGTTAGATACCACATGCAAATCTCCGCCACGCATAATCAACTGCCGGCAAACAAGTCACCACCCACACCAATGGTACAGACACCACTTATAGATCCAGCCGATAAAGTGCCTCCAGTATTTCCTACTTCTTCAAATAATTCACCGACTTCACAAAAGTCCCAAAGTGGTGATGAGGCCTCAAATTCACCAACGAAAACAGCTACAGCTGCCGCCGCAACAACTGGCAACGCTGATCCAGGACATAATCGCAATGTTAGTCAAAGTAGTGCTGCTTCTTCGGTACCCGAGTTGGTGGCAATAAATAATAGTGCAATTAATGGTAGTGAAACAACCGTAACAACAACAACAACTAATGAAAATAGCAAATCATAAAATCACCCCCCCCCCCCCCTCAATTCAAAAAATATTTAGATATTGAGACTCTCTTTACTTTAACAACTATCTATGGTTTTCCGTTTGCGCTTGACACCTTCTTCGACTACTTTGTAACTCTTTTTACCAATGCCACAATGCACCTCCCCATACACAACCCACACCACAGTCATATACAAAACTTATGCTTCCCTGACTTTCAATGCATCAAGCTTTACAGTAAATCCACACTGAAAAAAGTGAAAGAAACATAAATGTATGGTCATTTATTATGGAGGTCCTCTCGGGATAATTTTAATAATACTAGAAAAAATACAATTCACGTAGTTCATTTTTAATGGAGCTGTTGGACCATAAAGGCCATCATGGGCAATTACAATATACACTAAACAAAATACCAATATTTATATAAACAAAACAAAAAAAAAAAAAACAACCCGTAAACAAATAGTATATTATTTTTATTGTATTGTATTATTATAACTATGATTAGAAAGTGATTTTTTTCTCAGCTTTCTTTAAAACGTTCCATTTTTAATTTATATAAATTATAAAAGAAAAATACAATTAAAACAAATGTTAATCTTAAAGATTAAAAGTTTAATAAATCTTTGATGCTATTACAGTTTGATTAGAAAAAGAATGGAGAGTTTTTGTTTATAAAATGGAATATTACTTTTCCTTGGCTTTGTGAGGACAGAGAGGGGTAGCCTAATGGTCTAAAGTAGGAAGTTTTCGACATAGTACCTTCAGTGTGGTTTTGAAATTTTGAATTTAATTAAAAAACAAGTAAGCAAAGGCTACAGTAGAGCGGGCCGACCGTTGAATACCCTACAACACTATAATAAACCATACAGTTTATATAGGCGAAGTACTCGACAGTATTCCACAAGATATTGAGACAAATAATTAAAGAAAACCATCAGGTTTCGTTCTCTAATTTTCGAAAAATAGCAACTTAAACTAATTTGCTCATTTCCAATTTATTGGTAGATGTTGCACTTAAATGGCCTTCCTAGATCTGGAACCAATATTTCCCAAAGACCTATAATCTCTCAGAAGTGGCAAAAGATTAACATTTATTATTGGTTTTTGACTGAAACACATCTATATGAGATACAGACACTTGACTATATTTTTCAACGAAATAGTCAGAAGTGCGTCTTTCCTGTATTTGTGAATTCTCCAAAAAGTCTCTGGAATGGACATTTTCGTATTTTGTCTACAAAAGTTGGCAAACTATTTCACACATTGAATATTTTTGGATGGCCATTAGAAACTGCTTGACTTTTGCAATGTCCGGTAACCCCCATTCAAATGTGCGTGAGGATCGGGCGATAATTACGACCTGCCGACAATTTTGCAGTTTTTTGGTCCATTTCAACCCCTAAATATTTGGCGAGAGTAGGCTCCTATTCTGACCCTCATCTTATCCCCATGCAAAATTTCGTAAGGATCGGGCCATAAATGTGATCTGTATATGATATCCTGATATCCCAACTACTTAGTTTTGTTAGCTGTAGGAATATTACCAAATGTTTAATTCAAAATGAAAATATGCCAAAAATATGACAAAATTGAAAAAATATGAGAAAATTTTACAAAATCAATATTTTCATCTTTAGAGAGATGTTTGCATGCGATTTTTATATACGTTTTTTCTTTCCTGCCAAGAGGCCATTCTGAATTAATGAGAATTGTCGAAATCAGTTCAGCCGTTCTCGACATATAAGAGATCTTTCAAGCATATCTTCTTTGATAGACATATATATCGCACATATTCTGCTATATATCCGATTTGTTGGATGTTAACATCAATGTAAAGATCAGAAGTAACCTTGTCATGGCTTTATGATTTCGCCGGGATTTAAAATATTCGCGGTTTGATGAAAAATTTTGAATTTTTTCAATACAAAAGATATGGTCTATTTTACCCGCTAAATATTATCCGATGACCACCCAAATTGGTAGGCTTCTTCCCCTCCCTAAACTCCAGCTACATGCGAAATTCCGTCGATTGGTCCATAATTGAGACCTGTATAGCTTCTGCAAAATCCGACATTTTTTCAGTATTTGGTCCATTTCAACCCCTAAACATTTGGCAATCATCTCCAAAAGCAATAGGGTTCTATTCTGGTCCAAGCCCCACCTACATTCTAAATTTCGTGGAGATCGGACCGTAATTGCGACCTGTAGAGTGATTACAAATTAACATGGACAGACGGATAGACAGACGGACGGACGGACATACATAGCTAGATCGACTCAGTTCGGCGAGCTGGCTATCGTTAGAGCACTCCAGCATTTAATTATGAATAAATCGTTTATGTCTCGTACCATCGCTCGTTACCGTGATAGCGTACCGTGGTAGCGTAACCCGACGTCAAGGAAGTGGACAGAAGAAAACAGCATCATCAGCAGAAACGGTTCGAAAAGTAAAGAAGCGACTTGATCGAAACCCGCGCCGAAGAGGCTGAAAAATGCCTCGTGAGCTGAACATATCACTATATTCCATTTGGCAAATATTAAAAAATGGGCTCGGGGTAAAGCCATTGAAATTCCAAACAGTGCAAGAACTTACACTGCAACGGAAAGAAAATAGACTCTGAAGAGCTAAAGACGTGCTTCGCTTGGCCGAAAGTGGTAAACTGCCGAATTTGGTTTTCTCCGATGAGAAAACATTCGTTGTCCAGCAATTTGTAAACAAACAAAGTGATCGTGTTTACTTGCCAAAGAGGTCAACTGAAAATGTGCACCTTCAATTGGCCAGCAGAACTCAATCGCCGGCAATGGTGATGGAATGGGCCGCCATAACAGCCGATGGTCGCTATCCGCTCGTATTAATCGACCGTGACATCAGAATAAATGTCCTTGGACCTTGGACACTCCAACACGACTCCACTCACCATCGCAACAGCACGCGCCACTACTTTGGAAAGTAAGGTCGGCACTTAAAAATACCAAAGCGTCGATCACCTCAAGCAAGCGCTTCGCCGGGAATGGTCCAAAATACCGCAGAGCAACATTCGGGCAGCGTGTGAAGGTTTCATTGGCCGTTTGAAGGCCATAATTCGTGCCAATGGTGATCAATTCGAACAAATCTAAACTTATTCTTAAAATTGATGCTATTTCCGACATTTTTGATTTCATTTAACGACATTATTCACCGGAATTTTTTCAAATGTGGTATTAAATGTTCGTAATAGATTCTACAGCGAGATTGTCTGTGCAGGTCCACGTCTTTGTGTAGCCCTCATATAACGGTACCTCCCGATATTCGGTATTTTGATGATTTTAGCGACATTATTCACCGGAATTGTTTCAAATTTGGTATTTGAAGTTCGTAATGGGTACTACAACCTATGACAGAAAATTGTCCGTGCAGGTCCTCGTTTTATTACCCCAATGGTCTCTCTATATTCGGTATTTTGATGATTTTAGCTACATTATAAAAATAATTTTTTAACATACGGCTACATTTTTAAGATTTAAGAATATTTAACGGATTTTATTTTTTGAAAATTTTCAAATTCGTTCCAAATGGTGGAGGGTATTTAAAGTTCGGTCCGGCCGAACTTACAGCTTTTTTACTTGGTACATCCCTATATTCCGTAATTTTAAAATTTTAACAGAATTCTTAAGGGATCCTATTTTTATTTTTTTTTTAAATTTCCCAATTCGTTCCAGTTGGTGGGGGGGGGGGTTCATTCAAAGTTCGGCCCGGCCGAGCTTACTTATTATTAACATGTTTTTGGGAGCTATATAAGAAATGATTGTAAAACTGACTTATGGCAACATTCCTGCCTTGTAAATGTGTTCCCAACATACCAAATTGACTTGAGAATAATATTTTAATAAGCTTTCAAAAATAAGCCTTAAGCTTGAGAAAATCTTGAGAATGTATTGAAAAATGCTTGTTTAACAATTATAGAATAATCGAAAGGGAACCCTTATTCATAAGCTTATTCTTGTAATTGCAGAATAAGCTTACGAAAGTAATATTATATCAAGCTTATTTTTTCAATTGTATAAAATATTTATTTTTTAATTATTTTACACATTTCATTCATTGATCGCCATCCCAGCTGTCGCTGCCTCCTGTTGCATTGATACCTAGATGATTTCTTTCCCCTTATTTGAGCTTCCGCATCTCCTCCACTAATTCTTCACTTCTCTTGAATTCTTGCAACTTTTTGACGCCTCTATTCTGAAATGAGATTGAAATAATATACACTACAGATTCCCAGATTTATTATTCATCATTACTTTAGAGTTTCGTCCAGAAATGGGTCTTAAATTCGCGTGATTTTGATTTTAACCAAAGAAAATATTTTTTGTCGACAATTTTCACAAAAAAAAAAATCAAAACAAATTTGTCAACAAAGGACAGATTTGAGAAAAGTTTGTGCAAAAAAGTTTTTCTCTAGCATTGTTGAGGAATTCTTACGATAAACTATTTTCATAATATTATTCTCAAGCTGTATTGTATTTTTGGTATGTTGGGATATAATTCAATGTTATTTGGTATTAAAGTTTAAAATGTCTCCGTCAAATTCAGTGAAAATCAATTTAGCATTGCATATGCCTCCCATATATTATTTTCTCCTGAAACCAAACTATAACTGCTCTAAAGCCAAAGGTTGATAGGAAGGCTATGATCTACTTCAAATAAATTCTTTTGTTATGGAAACACTAATAAATTGGTATAGCCTATCATATAGTAGGCCCCAACCGACTTTTGACTTTTCCTTACTGGTTTAGCTCTACCTTTTAAAGTCTGCTAGATTTCCCCAGCAATAATTTTTATACCCTCCACGTTGGAAAGGAGTGTATATTAACTTTTTCATTCCAACATCCTAAATATTCGTCATAAACCCCATAAAGTATATATATTCATAATTAGCATAAAATTCTGAGTCGATTTAACGATGTCTGTCTGTCTGATATATCGGTCCACGTTTTGGTATAGCACACATATAATGCTGCATCCCGATATTCGGTATTTTGATGATTTCTGCCACATTTTGTCACAGATTTGTCTAAAAATAGTATTTGTTGGTCATAATGGGTTCTAGCTCCGGTGGAGAAACATTGCATACATAGGTCAACGTTTTGGCATAGCTCCCATATAACGGTACCTCCTCATATTCGGTATTTGAATATTTTTCCACGAATATGTCTAAAAATTAGTATTTGTGAGTCATAATGGATTCTAATGTTTCCTTTACTCTAAGGTGGAGGGCATTAACATTTAAATAAAACACCTTGTGCATTTTTTATGGAATATATGTATGCGTGTTCTGTGTATATTTATTTTATATCCGGTTTTTTGGTTTCTCTTCTCTTTTTTTGTTAAATATTTTTTTTGTCTTTGTTTCTTTGATTTCTTTTTGGTTTTATTTATTGTTACTCATTTTGCTGTTACTGATTTTAACA